AAAAGAACTTGAAAATGTAACACTTGAAAGATGCTACAAGCCACAAGACTTCGGGAGGACGACATGTCAGGAGTTGCACTGTTTTGCAGATGCAAGTGAAGTTGGAATAGGAGATGTTATATATCTACGACTCATCAGTGAGACTGGACAAATCCACTGTTCCTTTGTTCTTGGAAAGTCAAGAGTGGCACCGTTAAAAACAGTGACAATACCGAGGCTTGAGTTGACAGCATCAACTTTAGCAGTGAAATTATGCAAGATAGTTACAAAACAATTGGAATATCAAGTTGATCAAGTTTACTTCTGGACAGATAGCATGTCAGTTCTTCGTTACATAAATAACACAAAAACTCGTTTTCAAACATTTGTTGCCAATAGGCTTGCCATAATTCATGCAGCAACTACAGTCAACCAGTGGCACTATGTCAACTCTAAAGATAATCCAGCAGACTCTGCGTCAAGGGGAATACCAGTAGTAAGTAGATTTCTTGACTCAGCAGCATGGTTCAGTGGTCCTGAGTGGTTATGGAAAGCAGATGTTTCATGGCCGTCTACTGAAATCATTAGCGACTCATCAGAAATTGACAGTGCTGAAATAAAGGACAGCGTCAACACAGCAGTTGAAACAGAAACAGTAGAAGGAATGGAGAGATTACTCCAGCACTTCCCTTCCTGGAAAAAGCTGAAAACAGTGACTGGATGAAAACCTCAAAGGAATAATGAAGAGGAAAAGAGAATGGAGATCAAGAATGATATCGGAGGGATTGACAGAAGAGAAAATACAAGAATTAGAAATGAAGGAAAAGCATAACAGATTGAAAAATGATACACAAAGACCTTCATTAAATGTAGACATTCTTGACAGAGCAGAAACAGACATTTTGAAGTATGTGCAGATGAAGCATTTTGCCCAAGAATTTAAAGACTTGAATTCAAGTGAAAATGGAGTTGTTAAAAGGTTATCAAGATTAGCCAAGTTAGACCCAATTGTTCACAATGGAGTTCTACGTGTAGGCGGTAGACTTAAGAAACTGGATACAACTCTTAACAGTAAACATCAAATTATTATTCCCAAAGAGTCTGTATTAGCCAGGTTAATAGCAGAGGAAGCACATAAATCTGTCGGACACTTGGGAAAAAATTCAACGCTGGCACTTATTCGTGAGAAATATTGGATTCTTGGTGTGTCATCAATTTTGAAGTCCATCATTTCCAGATGTGTTATATGCAGAAGATATCAGGCACCTACTTTGAAACAGAAAATGGCAGACCTTCCCAGCGAGAGACTGAAACCTGATGACCCCCCTTTTACTCGAGTGGGAATGGATTATTTTGGTCCATTTGAGCTTAAAAGAGGAAGAAGCATAGTAAAACGGTACGGTGTCATATTTACTTGTCTATCTTCCCGAGCAGTACATTTAGAGGTTGCCTTTTCCTTGAATACAGACTCCTGTATTGACGCCATTCGAAGGCTTATTGCACGACGAGGAAAACCAACTTATATAGTGTCTGATAATGGAACGAATCTGGTAGGTGCTGAACGTGAGCTAAGAACAGCACTTCATTCCTGGAATACGAACAGCATTTCCAGTCAATTATTACAGTCAGGAATTGAATGGAGCTTTAATCCACCGGCTGCGTCTCACTTTGGAGGAGTATGGGAACGCCTCATCAGGATAGTCAGGAAAATCATGTATTCTGTTCTACATGAACAAACAATTCATTTGGATGATGAGGGACTGTTAACCTTGTTTTGTGAAATTGAAGCTATTATGAATGGACGACCCCTTACAGAAGCTTCAGATGATCCGAATGACCTTTGTGCACTTACACCAAATCATATACTACTCATGAGATCAGGAGAGAGCTTTCCCCCTGGAATTTTCCATACATCTGACAACTACGCAAAACGTCGATGGAAGCAGATTCAGTATTTGGCTGATGTTTTCTGGACACGTTGGATCAGAGAATATGTACCCCTTCTCCAACAGAGACAGAAGTGGCTGAAGCAGGAAAGAAACTTACAAGAGGGTGATTTAGTTCTCATTGTGGAAAACACTCCAAGAAACGCATGGAATCTTGGTAGAGTGCTCGAAGTGATAAAGGACAACTATGATGTTGTGCGTGTTGCAAGGATAAAGACAGTGTCTTCCATTATTACGCGGCCAGTGACAAAACTTTGTCTTCTTTTGGAAACAGATTGTGAAAAAGAGAAAACAAATCAGTGAACCTTTGTGCAATGAAACGTTTAATGAATTAACTCATTTTGAATACATTGTTTTGTCCATTTTTGATAAATATGTTTTTGTAAAAACACATTTAGGGGCCGGTGTAATGGACAATCTGTATATTTTATTTTGAATTCCAATTTTGTCCGTAAGTTTCGATTTCTGTGCATTCCAATTTTATCAGAATGATACGTTTATCAAATGTTGAGAAATGCACGAGCGCCATATTTAGATCAATGAGTGCAGTAGTTTGTTGTGTTCTAGCTGAAAGTACCAGACATACATCACGGTAATTATATATTAATTATTTATTACATACTGTCTGCTATATGCATTTACTTGTTACATTGAATTTGAGTAGGAATTTGTCATATTACCACTGTTTACAAAGTTTAATATAAGGAGCACTTTTTGTGTCATGATTTATATTGATAAAAGGTTACATTATATGTATATTCTGTATTGAGTACAAGTATTTATTATATTTACATTTCATTTGTAGTCAATCTATGTCAGAAACAGGGACTTTGTCATACTATGTCAGAGACAAGGACTTTGTTATACAATGCCAGAATGTGTCCATGTTAATAAAGACATTGAATTGAACCTGTGTCGTTGGTACAAGAGAACACTACAGAAAGTTTATTATAAAACAACATTGTTTTACTAATGAACAGCCACAGCAACATTGAAAATAACAAAATATAAAGAGTTGTACTGCATGCTGAAATAATTGATACCCAAAGTTAGAGCAACTTACTGCAGTCTTCATAAGTACATATAAAATATGTTACTTATGTATTTAAATGTACTTATTTTCATAAGTACATATGATATATGTTGTTACATGTACCATGCAAGAATCTTCGATTAAAGATCAATTTAAGCATCATGATATGAATCCATGAATTCAAATAGAATTATATTTCGTTTCTTCATTTTTAATATTTTAAATTTATGCATGTCGGAACACCTTAAAAACAGACTTTCTATAGAGAATCACTAGAGAGATTCAAAATATCTATGATCACATCATGTTACGTTGAGCATCACTTCCTTTCATAGTTCGTAGGGAATTCCTTTGAAGATTAATCTAAATGTATTACAAATAATTTATCTTTCCTTGGAACTTTGGTAAATTCGTGTCCAAATAATATTCATTCCTATCAGTAAGAATGTGACGTACGATATATCTTGCATTTTAAAGTTCAGTAAATTATGTAAAAGAGTAATCTTTTCAGATACATTTTCTGATTAAAATTTCCGCACTTTAAATATGTTTATTGATGATCACAATTGAAGTCCATTGTTTTGATATATGATATGAAATTAACCACGTTTCTTTGAAATATTTTGTCTATATCATTAATAGTGTCCACGGCAAAACAAAAAAGTATATATCATTAATATCATTACCGGATATCTGTTTGTTTCCTAAATCGTGCTTACCTTATTAGTCCCCTACCGGTGAAACCGGAGGGGACTATAGGTTTCCTCTGAGTCTGTCTGTCCGTCTGTCTGTCCCTCTGTCTGTCTGTCAGTCTGTCCCACTTGGTTTTCCGCACTTTTTTCCTAAACGCTTGCAGATATTGAGTTGATTTTTGGTATGTGAGGGTATCTTGATGAGTTACAGATCAAGTTTGCATTTCGTTCCGCTTCATTGATTTTTGACGGAATTACGGCCTTTTCAATTTTTGGGGGGTTTTCCGCAATTTTCTTCTAAACTCTTGTAGATATTTAGCTGATTTTTGGTATGTGGCTTTACCTTGATTAGTTATAGATCAAGGTTGCATTTCGTCCCGCTTCATTAATTTTTGACGGAATTATATCATTTTCAATTCTTAACGGGAACGGAACCAGATTACACTTGCCGGTAGGGGACTAGTATTGCTAATGCAATACTCTCAGCATGCTTGTTGTAACGTGTAATTATGTTAACAGACGGAAATCTTTGATCAACCTTTGAAAAGGTCAACCATAATTATTTAAGGCTGAAGTGTTGCAGCTCAATCTCTTAACGCTGTTTATGCTGTCGATCATTAAGCGGCAACGTATACTAGTAATTAACGGTTGATACACTATCTGTCTTTTATTTTGACAGTTTTAAATCTTTGCACCGAATGTACAGTAAAATGAACTTTATGCAAAGCCATCTCCTAATGACTTACAGTCATGTGAACAAGTGGGGACACATACACATTTTGGCTTTATTTATTCGAAATGAAAGCTACATTGTAATTGATTTACGTAAAAGCAAATTTAGCTTACGTCTTTTTTTTAGTTAAGCAAAGGAATTTAAAACTGACCGCAGCCATACATTCTCTTATGCTTCATAAACACTAATTTTGTACAATATAAGCATTCAAAGTTTAAGTGTGCGCTTGAGTTTACGCGTGATTTAAAGAATGTATATATGTTATTAATGTAATTTTTAACCCTTCACTGACCTTCTACTTTGCTTGAACAAATATATTGTTCACCGTAAAATTGTACTTCCTTATTCATGGATCGAGATGTAAACAAGCAATTAGAGGAAAGTACATCCCGAGAATGTCTTAGATATTAACCTATAAGTCATACAACAAAAGCAGATATTGTACTAATCTATGTCAACAAAGAGATTCAATATGACAATTAATCACGTATAGGAAAAATTAGGGTAGGGACATCTATATAAGTTATATTCGATATTTTCAATTTTTGTATTAACGTCTTACGGGAATATAGAACAAAACACTATATATTTTTTGATGAGAAGATATCAAAATTCATTGCTTTTGAGTATGGTTCAGCCGTTCACAAACACTACCAACACGAGTTTTACGGTTTCCACCGACCAGTCAGTTGTTGACAGTGCAAATCCAGAGCCGGTCACCACCATCAGCTGGTGGTCATGGGTAGTTGTTTCTGTCGTGGTTGTGGTTTTAGTGGTACTGGTCATCGTAATTTTTGTTTGTGTTTGGAAATATCGGCATCGGTAATACTTTAAGAAAATACAATCTATTATTTTTTGTTGGATAGACGGTAATGATTTTTTCGTTTAGTGAAATATAAATCTAAGCCATGAAATACAGTCATAACGTCCTTAACTTTTCAAATCTTTATCATCTATTCAAGGTCACTCGAAAGAAAGGATTCAACAAACATCAGAGATAATAAACTCTATAGCGTCACTGGAAACAACCTAGTTAATGTAAGTACAGTCTATACTGAAAATGTTTAAACTCCAAATAATGCTAGAAAGTTAACAAAAAGTTTATACCTTTTTACTCCTCTTTAGGAGACCATCTATTCAAATGTGGGCTATATTCCGGACATCATACCGGATTTGGATCGGCAAGTGGCGCCCAGGAATTACAAATACGACTACGTCCGGAGAATTGATTGGGACCATTTGATGGGTGCTGAACAGAAAATGCAGCAAATAACACAAAACAAGTTATGTCCCCAAGAAACTTACGTCAATACGTCTGAGAAATATGGACGTGGTGATTCAGAGGACGATTCAAAACAATATCATAATATTTTTAGTGAAAACAAGTCCATAGAAAGGACCAAAGAAGAATATACCGATGTAGTTACAGAGTTAGAACACTGCAAAATGCATCACTCATATGTAGAAATGAGTGAAGAAAATGACATGGGTCTTTACAATAAATTAAACCATGGAACCCGGTCAGTTCGCCGTACTGAGGTGGAGGACATCACGTACAGTCATATTCAGCCCGAGTCTGAGGGTGAGTATACAATTCTGTGTGGTGGGGAAGTCTTGGACATAAAGATCTACGAAAACCAACCGGAAAAGTGGAGCTCTCAACCTTAGAGTCATACTTCTACAGCTGAGTTCTGTGTGTCGAAGAACCTTATCACGGATGTTATCAAATAACTTTAAAATTAAATATTGAATATGTATTACCTTTATCTTTCAATTTAAAATAAACATAAAAGCGAAGCCATAAAACAATATACCACTACTTTATGCATACATATATTTTATAAACTCAGTGAAATTAAACAATTTGGATATGCTTATTTGTTTGCTCATGCATTTATATATATTTTTGATATATGAAACCAAACTGCAAACTTATAATACATCAACAACAGATGTAGAAGGCGTTCTCTTTCTGGTCTTCACACCATTTCAGCTGCCCAAACACAATTTTAATTGCACCATTGAATGTCTGCAAAAGATAAAGTAACGAATCATTACTGAATATTTTAAAAAAAATGTGCATTTTGTGATAAAAGCAAGGGATTTGATAGAACATTAGAACTCAGAAAGTGGTTAGAGCTGGGGGCAACTGAAAAGAGGCTGTCCAAAATAGAGTGCGGTAGAGGACTGTTGCCGAGACCTTTTTTTCAAAAACTAGATGTCAAAATTCACAAAAACATCAGGAATCTCTGTCTTTCTCTCTCTCCACTTCCCAAGGAAAGCATGCCTAAGGCGACAAAATGCGCAAAATATAATGTCTTCGACGGCAAAATGTGCATATACGAAAGGTACTCTATGTTGCCCATGCTCAGTTAAGATTGTCTATTGTCTGTAGAGTCAAGATGGATGAAAAGAAAAGTTGAAGAAGTTATCATGGTCTCAAGTACCAAAAACTGAATGTCGGTAGACCAAGAATTTTGATACAATCTTCCAAAAAGAATATTAGAACATTTTCTCACCTTTGCATACTTCAGTTGAATGTTGTTTACAAGTTTTTGATAAAAATAAAAGTGGCGTGACCTTGACCTGTACAACAACATCGAAACGGTAGATAGAACCTTTGTTTTTCCGGCACTTATATTGTGCAGTCTTTTCTTGCTTTACAGTGCAGTTCAGTTGTCATATCTTCGCTATACTCTTAATTTTCATAAATCTTTCGCTTCATGATACAGATATCTTAAAAGAAACATATGATTTTGACTCATTATGTAACCTTAACATTTTGTGAGGAGTAAAGAGAGTGGCTTAATTGGTAGAGCATTTACTTTACCCAGCAATGTATCTTTACTTGTAGGGATTTTTATGAAGTTTAGCAATTCAGTATAGGTGGGTAGATCAAATTGACCTGATTGACTGGAATTTTGTAAAAGTATTACATATTAAAATGTGATTTTGAAGAATTTCTTCCCCAGAAAGCGAACTCTGAGTATACGTCGGATTTCCATATGTAGAATTATAACCAAGTTCTTGTAAAATACAGTTATATATAATAATGAGCTTTACAAACAAAGACGATATTACTCCAAGCCTTGTCGGCTGAAACCATAACTTATTGTTCATGTAGTCTTTCTAATTCTTTGACACCTCCGATTTTTTGAAAACGAAAGGGCAGATGGTTTGCATATTGCCTTTTAACTTTCTAAACGATTCTATAATATATTTCTAAAACACTTAATCCATTCTGACAAAGTGTTCAGGTCTTCCCTTTCATATTTAGATCAAACGTCTGGCATAATCTTCGGCGGTCCGTGTAACACTTAACAATTCAAACTAAGATGATTTAGAGTTTTAGAATTTTAATATATTATTTCGATTTTCTAAATTTTAAAAACTCAAACTGATTTCGTATATTGAAATTTAATATTTTAGCTCAAAAATCTAAATTTTCAAATTTCCAAACAGGTTTTAAAATTTAATTTTTTTTTTTTTTTTTTTTTTTTTTTTTTTTAGACTTTTACCTTAATTATCCAAAATTCAAATTTCCATATAAAATGAATATGATGATTTATTTAGAATAAATCAAAATTCACAGATTATAAAGACGTCATTGTGGCATTTGGAACATTCAAAGATAAAGTAAAATGCGCTGAATATTCAAGGTTGTGTTCACTAAAACTGACCAAAATTATTCATAATATAAGTTTAATGTATTTTCATGGGAAATTCTTTGCATTGTGCATTTTGAAATGTATAATCTGGTAAAATTTCTTGTGATCTAAAACAGATTGATAAGTTTCTATTTACATTCATTTTACTTTACATTCTAATAAATTTATACAAAAGTGCATGCAAAATAATTTCAAAAGAATACTCCCATCAGTTATATTGAAACATAAAGGCAAAGTTTTGATTACCCATTCCTTTATCATAATTACATACAAACATTATTATTGGGGAAAAAATCACCTTATATTTTACAATGTTACATTAATTTTTTTTTATCAAATATTCATGAAATGAATAGGTACTTTCAACTTGTGGATCTTCGATTGTAATGATATCCTATGCGGCATCATTGTTCAATGCTGTAAGATTAACTGTTTATCCTATAGTTTTCAGTTTCAGCATTTCATTCCTTCCCAGAAACTATATCGTTGTACTCCGAGAAATGATAGTTGTCTGTGGAACTATACTCAAATTCCATGGAAGCACTTATTCCAGCCACATTCTGGCCTGATGATGCAAGGAAAGCAGTATCATCGTACCCTACCTTGACATCTGAACATTTGTTGTATGGGGAATTCAAATCTTGGACATTTTGTTTGCCTTTACAAGAGAAAGAATGGTCTGATCCTAGGGTAAGAGATCTTTCTCGCATTTGGCTTGATGCTTCAGTTTTCAAAGTATTGTCATATATCATGTCATTTTGTTGTATAACTGTCAGTGGTTTTCTCTTCAGACGTATCACAATGGCATATGTACATGGAATGCCAAAGTCTTGATTCTCCACTTTAATTAAAAACAATGAAAGTTTCATGATTTATTTTTACTAGTCACTTATTTTGAATTTATTTTTTTTAATGTTAAACTGTTAAAACTTTTGTGTAGTACGTCTGACTTGTATGTTAGTATATGGAGAGAGAGAGAGAGAGAGAGAGAGAGAGAGAGAGAGAGAGAAATTCTGCCGGTTGTTGTCGCCATCTGGTACTTGGACTGTGCATTTTCTGGTAAACCTGCATAAAGGATTTTGTTGAACATTTTATACAACTACAAAAACTTAAAACACGTATCATGCTGTTAGCATATGAATGGGAATTTTTTAAACTACTTTTTTTTATTGAGAAAATTAAAGCAATCTTTTACATTGTATCAAAGTCATTGAACTATTGCTTGACACCAGTGTAGAATGTTGGAGAGGTATTTTCTAATTTTAGTGGTTGTCATGTTGCTACAAAGGTTTTATTTGATGACATTCGAGAAGTTTTCATATGATCCAACGTATAATGATAATATACTCATGTTTTGTGATGAAACGGACTTTTTTATATTCATTGAGTGTTCATTATAGAATTTAGGTCTTACTAAAATTAAACTAAATTTGCAAATAAGAAATGTTTAACGAAGCCTAATTAGTATGGGAAATATTAACTATGACGTCACATGAAATTAACAATCTTTAAAAATACTACAAAATGCAAAGATATGTTAAATGAATGAAAAACTGGAAGGTGATTTTGAAGAATTTCAGCTTTTGAAAGGGAACACTGAGTATAGGTTACATTTCCTAATGTAGAATTAAAACCGAGTTCTTCTAAAATGCAATTGAAATAATGAGCCATTCAAAGAAGACTCATATTGTTACAAGCTTTGTCAGCTGGAACCAAAACATATTTTTCATGTAAGCTTTGTCTTGTTACGGATGTCTCCAATTATATTTCCCTTACTCACATTTGTATTAAAAATAGAAATATATAAACTACAAACACATGTCGTAAATAAGTCGTTAATTTTCTATTTCAATACCAGATTATGCGTAATCAGCGTTTTATTAGTCTTTAAAGAAATTATTGACGTAAGATTAAAATCCATTGATATTCGGAAGGCATAAAAAGGCGAAAAATGATTTAAAAAAATAATTGATTTCTACTTTCAGTTTAGGTCACTTCAATTTAAAAAGATATTTTCCTTAATACTGTTTACGTACTTTTTTCCGCGGGGCCATACATTCTGTTCAATCCGCAGGTAGAAAATTACGCGGATTTCTTGTATTGCAATTATCTGTCTTAACTGCTCTTTAAGTACATGTATGCTGTGACAAATTTCTGCGGAAAATCTGTGACCATGTAAATAGCGTGAATTGATTCCACTTGAAAAAAGTAAGTCTACAGTTATTAAATGAATTGTATTTTTTAAATATTAAGCTGACAATCCACAACAATCAAAGTAGTCATCACGATGGCCGATATCAGCCTGTACATATTATGACTGGTATTGAAATTTGTACATTGACATATACATTTTTCAATGCCAATGCACACTTCGTGCTTTTACATTTTATCTGTGCATGTACAGAATGACAAAAATGCAAATGTCAAAAAATGGACGTATAAAACACATACCCTTTTCCTTACAATTTCTAGTCAGCAAAGACCATTAAATATGAATAGAATTCAACAAGGCACCTTGAAGAGTCTTAGAGTTAAAAAGTTAAAAGACAATGCTATAAACCTCGTATGTTATAGAAATGTTATAAAATTATAATTTAACATCAATCTACTTAAAAATGAAACTTCAATTGTCCCCCACAATTATTTCTTTGAACCTCCTTGTCAATAAACTGCCCTACCCCTCCCGATAATGATTACTATATGGAAAATACATGTATATGTACACTCCTTTGGTTTTATTCATAAGTTTAAGAAAGCACTAAAGGTCACAAAAACTGGTTTCCATGAGTAAGAGACATGTAGAAATATCTTAAAAGATTATGGCCTTTGAAGTTTTATAAAATCAACATTTACTTTGTATTTCATTTACTGAGTAATTTTAAAAATACATATAACTGACTCTTTCTCTTCATTGATAAGTTTCTTTCAACTTTCACATTTCATAGCTAAATCATTCATATTATAAATACATTTGTATTAAGTAAACATATATACTTCAACACATTTTACGTAAAGAATAAAGTAGAAGAGAACGAAAGTAGGAGGATTGTGAATGAATAAAAAATATTGATAAAGATGACAATATGCAATTAATAATTCAACAAATGAAGAAATCAATAAAAATCTTAAAAATTCAAAAGAAATGTTATCCAATATGAATTATACCTCTGTTTTCATA